GATATCAGTGTGAGTCCTCACAGTAATAGATTTCTATCTGTGAGTGTGTGAGTGTGTGTGTGTTGTGTGTTCTGTTGGTGTGTGTCTGTGTGTTGTATTTGTGTGTGTGGTGTGTGTGTGTGTGTGTGTGTGTGTGTGTGTTTGCAGTTTGTGAAACAGGATGACCTGTGGACCGGGTGTGTCCCAGCAATGAGAATGTTTACACTCTTTCAGATGTTCTGTTTCAACATCGTTTGCTTTTCTCAAGACTGAGTTGATTCATATGGTTCAGCCACAGTTATCACATGCTCCATGTCATCGCTTACTCACGTTACTGCATCAGAAATGTGTTTACTTTAAAGGAAGCAAACTTTGTTTTTAGACTAATAGCTGCGTAATTATGACTGCATGTTTATTAGACCAAGATATTAAATGGTACTCAACCACATTGAACTGCTGATCCTTTAGCTGGAGTTAAATGGTACTTTTACTACAGTCCACCCTTGTTACATTTCATAGATCCTTTCTTTCTTCCTTGCCTCAAGACACTTTATAAGGTTTAGTTTGTTGTAAAGTAAACACCCCACAATATCAGAGATAACCTCAACGATCAAATGACCACCTATGAGCTAACACTTGGCGACAGCGAGAAGGAAAAACTCCCCTTTAACAGGAAGAAATCTCTGGGAGGTCCAGGCTTTCAAAAAGATATATTAAAAATCCTTCTTCTTTTGATTTTTATATGTATTTTGGAAATTTCATTAGCTTTCTGCTAATACGATGTTGTGCTCCCATCGTATTGCATTTGTTTCATGTGTTAGGTTCAACTCACAACTTCAGGAGTTGTGGTGGAGTGCTAATTTATCGGCTAACACTAGTTAGCATTCATGAACTGTATCAGTTGAGTGGGGGCAAGTGTGGCTTAGGAGATAGAGAGGGATGTCTATCATTTAGAAGGGCGGTGGTTTGATCCATGGCTCGGTATGAGTGTGTCCTGAGAGGTTAGTCTCTTCAGTCACTTCAGTTCACTTGAAGTATTGGATGAGACCTAGAAGAACATTGAAAAACAATTGGCACTTGACATGGCCACAGCCTAATTATCCATCCATTATCTTCCGGGATGGAAACCACACCGGCCAGAAGAACAAGGAGGGGGCTCCTGTCGCAGACATGTCTCCTCCTGACAGCGCGTCACCGCACAGTCCCGCCCCACTCCACACCTGAACACAGCCTCCCTCGTAGCACCGCCAGCTGCAGGCAGAGGGGCATCCCTGCCCTGTTGTGAATTGCGGCCATCGCCACCCACTGTTGCTGTTCCTGCCGTTGGGACTGGATCGCCGAACGGCTCGCGGCGCCCCACAGTCAGGCAGCAGTTCCTTCAACACACGTGCGGGCTTACACGCGTTCCTTTTTCTCCTGCTCACCTTTCGTGCGTCGCTCCTCTCGTCTCTGCGCTCACTATCCCCTTTAACAGGTCCCTGGCGGCTGATAGGCCACCTTGGGGAACGCCCCCACCTCACAGGTGCCTACAATTGTCTGTTTAGTCCACAGCGGATTAAAGGAATATGGTACAACAACACTAAAATACATATAAATATGAGGATAAAACCATGCAATATAAATATCAATAAACAAACATGCAATATAAATATCACAATAAAATCATGCAAATAAAATCAACTCTATGTACCAATACACAGATTGATAAAACATAAAAACACAAATTTCCACTGTGTGACACTAACATGAAGCTAACCAAGCACGCTGACCCCAGCCTAGCAGCCAGTGCCTGATCTTCGACAGGCAACAAAGGCAATGGTGAGCATTCACACGTGCAACATTGCTGCCTGCATTTATACCTGTAAATGTTTGTACAGCACAATGACTTGCTTTGAAGTTTATATGGGCTGGTTTTTAACTATGAATTTTGTTGCTATTCTTATGTTCATATGTAAAAACTAGTGCTGTCAGCGTTAATCTCATTAAAATGACGTTAACGCCATAACCGCATTAACGCGACAAATCTCCGTTAGCGAGTTAGCTTGGATCGCCCCATGCGTGTGGCTGCACGGCGCTAACTTGTTAACGAACTAACTGTTGACGCTAACGCGTTGACGGCGTGCAGCCCCACGCACGGGGCGTTAGCATCATTTTAACGAGATTAACACTGACAACACTAGTAAAAACTAAAAGAAATATCATATACTAATGTCCTCATTAGGACAGGGATTTCCACTGGGTTGTGGAACTGTGGGTTTATATCGTTAGCTGGTAATTATGTCACAGCTCTTTTCAGGTCATGTTAAAGAGTAATGAAAAGTAATGTAACAAGTAGTTACTTTCTTTCAATTAAGTCCTTACTTTTAAGAAAAGTAATGTGTAATACATTATTTGAGTAATGACCCCAACAGCGAAGGGGCCTGACTGTCTTCTGGAGTCACTCCCAAGTGCTCACTAAAGAAAATGCAGTTTTTTGGACGTCCTCATTTTTGGCGGCGTGTTTACACTCAAAAAAATGAATGAGGTGGATTGTTCAGTGTATATTAATTATTTATTTTCATTTTACTTAAAATATATGTTTTTGTTAAGTTAACATATGTTTTTCTAATCAAGTCTACGTAATTGTGTCTATTATTCAACGTACATAATACTAATGTGTTACTTGATCGCATAACATTTAAGTTAAGTCAATTAGGATCGATATACCTTGTATATCCACAAGGTGGCAGTAATGCAAAAACAGTTGTAATGAAACCGCGCAGAACAAGAAGGTTTCACGGCTTGTGCCTGCTCATGCGCAAGACTTCAAATTTAACTGAAAAAGGCTGTTTTGGCGCCAAGCTGCTGTTTCTTTGAGAGGTAAGACCACTTTTTTCTTTGACTATGTTGTGTAGTATCTATATGTCCAGCATGGTTATATTTTGCGTTTGTCTTACAAGACATGTTATATCGTTTGCGTGTGCTTGTTTTACATTAGTTTTACTGGGTCCTGGACATGTTTTTTTGTTTTATTAAGGGATTAGCTACAGGGGTTCATGGGGTTATTCTTTCAAGGGGTTATTTTTCCATTTGCTTTCTTGGGATTCCTTTTCTGTAATCCGAGAGTCGGAAATATCGAATAGGATAGCAAGGATAGCATAAAGTGACATTTAAAATCCAAAAAGTCAAGGGCGAAAGCCACTGTGACACCATTGTTCTGCTCTATCAGTAATCTGTATTATGTAAAAATGGTCTGTAAATACAGCATGTTTCCTAGCGGAGTTATACATATCAACGTAGTTATAAATTACAGTTTGTGAAAGTACACACTTAATTTTTTTAATAAAATTATTCAAGACATATGAGTGGACAGACAATGGAGGTCGACAGACCTGGTGATAATTGCTTCTATAGAAAGTTAGCACATGGCAGTGTCAATCTCTTGCTTTTCTTCTGAGTAGTATTTTATTTAGTTGTAATTCAAACAATAATTTGCTTCTTGAAATTAAGTAATGAATTTCTTGTTTTACTTTATAAATCTCAGATCCTGCCTTTACCTGCTCCCTCCTATACTGATGTGGTGTATGTGGTACTGCTGAGCTTGTATGTGGTATGTGAACTGTTATACTTTTAAAAACAAAACTGTTTTATAAGTTAAGTTTTCTTTTGTGACCCATCCCATGCCCCTGTTATTTCTTCTCCACATCTGAACCATGGTAAAGGTTGCAGTTCAAGGGCCTGAGGCATGAAATTCTTTTCAGATCAGCTGTGATCAATATTTTTTGGAACTTGATAAATAACAATAAAAGCTGTAATGGCTCCATTAGCATTTTGTGTAAATGTTTGTGTTAAAATTATAGCTTTAATGAGGTCTTACTACATTAGTTTTAGTTTGTATATGTGTACATATAGTATGTATATTTACAGTACAGTATGTTGTGTTTGTTGACATATTTTCAGGTGGAAGCAGAATATGTGAGGATTACTACTGCTGCACATGTTCCAAGGCTTTTTACACAACTTGACCAATACACTGACCAGCTCATAAAAGTCTTCAAGAAAAAAGGAGGCGTTGCAGGGAAGAAAATTAGACAAACTTTGGCCCCAGCCACACAGGTGCGTTATTCTGTTGGTAGCAAAATATTATGGCTAATAAGATCATTTTCAAATTTAAACAGCTAGTGTATGGTAGCTGCACAGTGCACTTACATTTATATTAAGCAAGACAAAGTTTGGTACTCAAAACGTTGGAAAATTTAAATTACCTAAACATATGTAAAATCTGATCCCTTGATTTAGGTTAAACCAGAAGTGAATGTTTTTATGTTATGTTTTGAATGCAAAAAAGATGATGTATTAGTTTGTCTTTACCTCCATTATGGACATATATAATGTGGTGGAAACCCTGCCCAACAGGTTAACTATTCATGTCCATGTGATGATTAGTTGGTCTTGTGTACATGTCTATCTGTGCAGTGGATATGTCATTCATTTTGCGTATAATGTGAGTTTCTGTCATCCTAAAGTATATCTGTTTTCTCTTCCTGTATCTCTGCCACTCTCTACAGAAGGAAACCATTGAAAAGGGGAGGGAGTGTGTCCTCAGGGCACTACCTTTTTACCTGAATGAAGACCCAAGCATCCTCTTCAAAGAATAATTGGTTGGTAATTTTAGTTTAGTTTTTTATCTGTATTAAACCAAATTTTGAATAACTAATGTTGTTGCATGTTGTAATGTTGTTGTTGTTGTAATTTGCATGGAACCTGTTTAAATGTTTTGGGAAATCTTCTTGTATACCCAAACTATTTATATTTATCGTTGAATCTGTAGTCTAAAATAGTGGCGCACTGGGGTGCATGTTCCTAATATTGTGTTTACGTCATTAAAGGGTAGCTTTGGCCCTTTTTCTTTCTTTTTTTAAAACTGGATGCCATTTTTCTATGTTTTTGTGTCTAAGCTACAGCTGTTCAGAGGGAGCTGGAACAAATTACCCTTGCTATCTTTACCATCGAAAGAGCTGATGCCAGCACTCCTCCAGCCGATGTGGGTATAACCATCTAGTGTGTCCTGCATGACCTGGAAGACCTGGCCTCTGCATGTGCACTCTTAATGGGTGGGATATATGCACTGAATCTCAGTTAACCTCAAGACTGAAAGCTAAGAGACAATCAAACGTATTGAGATTTAAAGGATTTAATTGAGAGATGATACTGCACCAGAAATGTTGAAGGGTGGTGTGTATATTAGCGTTCAAGGCATATTGTTATGAGGTGGAAATATGTTCATATTCAGTTTGTGTTACATTGTGTGCATTGTAAAGGTAATTGCAATACATACTAAAAATAAGGGTAAGTTAGGAGGTTGATCTGATATCCTCGTGTTGGTGTTGTTCGCAGATCATCATACTAAATGTTGTTCCAGGATCAACATTGCAAGTGACCAATCAGAATGTGGTGACGTCATACTTTTGCGACTTCGGGAAAAACCGGCGTAAAACAAAAAACTGTACTTAAGCTGCGTGAAACCGCCTCTGTCCGCCGATCAACTGACCCTAACCCTAACCGTAACCCTTTAATAAACAGTAAGCAGAATTGATATTGTCCTTGCAACATTGGAATTTCATAAATGCACGAATGGCTTGGAATAGAATAACGTCACAACAATGTGATTGGTCACTTGCAATGTTGAACCTGGAACAACATTTTCATGATGGTCTGGGAACAACACCAACACGAGGATATCAGATCATCCAAGTTGGGAATGCAGGATGAATGTATATTTTGTGGACTTTTAAAGACGAACAATTGTTTCCATGTTAAAATGTTTACATCTGAAGTTTTTTGCCCAAACACTGGTAAAATAAATGTTGACAGTGGCAAGTGTTAAATGGTTACTGCTGTGCTGTTGCAAAAAAACTGAACGCTGACAAGCTGTTTTATTGTTAGACCATAATGTTGGCATGTTTTGTTAAAGTTTTATTTGGGATGGTGATGTAATTTTCTTTGATTGCTAATATCAGTGGACTATTTATTATTATTATTATTATTATTGTTGTTGTTGTTGTTGTTGTTACATTTTTTTTTTTAATTGTGGCTGTTGAGGTGGACACTTCACTTTGCATTGTTAAAGGAAAGCACTTCATTGGCATTGTGTTACTGGACTGACCCTAAGCAATCATTGCAAATAGCAACTTTGCTATCCATTTTAGACACTAAAAGAAAAAAACACTCACAGACCTTACTAGCATCACATGTGCATAACTCAAGTGTCATCTTATCAATGTGTTATGTGATCTTCAATGCGTTTTTTTTTCTTCTATTTCTGGTAGATACAGACATTTAATTTAAAGTCTTGATGTTGCATCTGTCTACATACTGTTAATTACTAACCCTAATGAGCTGTTGTGTTTTATTTTGGACCGGTTTTACACAAATGCTCACTGAATGTGTTGGCAATAAAATAAATTTTAAAAAATAAGTTGGATGTACTTAATTCATTTGTGTGGAACCTGTTGACAAAATAGATTTATGTAAAACTAATTAATAAAGCACAAGGTGGCTGAAAATATAATATTTGAATTAATCTAACTTAAATTTAACATTTTACTGCCACAAATAAGAAATGTGTTGAAGTAACTAATCTAAACTATCTAACCTGAAAATATATCATCTATGTTCATACAACATAACTTGATTTAGTTAGTCTTAAATATGTCTTGTTAATCTTAAGTAGTTTTTTTAAATTAGATGAACTAAAGATTTTTGCTTTAAACTAACATAATTCAATTTCGTGGAACCTGTTGACAAAATAATTTTAATTAAAGTCAACGTTTCATTTTTTTGAGTGTACTTTGTGAGGTTGCGGCTTGTTTTAAACAGTATATGCTTAATAAATCTGATGCCAAATATAATATGACACCATAAAAATAGAACAGCTCAAAAATAATGGAAGTAATAAAAGATACACACACATACTGTGAATGACAGTGATGCACGGTCTGTGGCTGTCATCCAAGTTAACATTGATCAGAACTGTCAGCACACCACCAAATCAATCATGCTCATTGATCTGACACAACATTGGATTGGGGAGCGTTTGTTGTTGTAGGCTAAGAACATGATATTACTGTACTGGGTAAAATTCGAGGAAAATCAATTTTGATTTTCATGGTGCTTGGGGAAAAAAAAAAGTTGGATCCTCACTTTCTCAGGAAAACAACACAAGATTAAAGCTAAGGCTAAATGGAGCTTGAAGGTAATTTAAGGTCATTAACAAATGTGCTTAATTTCTTTTCTTGAGAAGTCTTAAGAAACAGAAGAATTGTGTCAGACTGAATGTTTTAAAGTCACTTTCTTCTGACAAGCAGCAGATCTATCAAAAAGAAAGGAGGGAGTTACATATCCCATTATACCAAAAGAGATATTAGTAAAGTACATAGAGAAAAGTTTAGCCATAGAATATAAATTCTGGTCATCCTGTCTTCGATCTCGGGGCAGAGATCAGAGCATAGAGGGAACTAAAGGAGTGGGAGAGACACGGCCCCTAGACCTGTGTGTATCTCTGTCTCACTTCTTGTCTCCATTTTTCCACAGTCTGCCCTGGCAGAGCGGAAGATGTTTGACACAGACATTGTGATAAAAGGGTGATGAATAAAGAGAAATGAATGTTACAGTTGGGTGGGATAAGAGCGAGGAGGAGAGAGTGTATGTGTGAGGGAAGGGAACTGTTGCCATGCTGGTGGAATGAAGCATGCTCTTATCTGTCTGGAGAGGAGACAAAACAGAGTGTGTATGATACAAGGGCCAACACATAAAAACCCGATGACGGGAAAAGAGAAGGAGTTAAGCAAAGAGGAACCCCACCACCAAAAAAATCAAAACACCAGACCTCCTCCAAAAGACAATTGAAACATGAAACGCCTGCCTTCATGGTTTAAGAACAATGTCCTGCATTCTTTCTCTTAACCACAAAACTTGCAAGGAACTTACCCTTCTGCAGCCACACACACACACACATGCGCTAAAGGATTTGCACACACCTCTTTTTGAGAAAATGAAGCCAGGCGCCCTCGCACACACACGTTCATGCACAAAGGTGCGCTGCCTTTTTCCTGTAGAAAAAAAAAAGAAAAAAAAGGAGGGGTGGGAGAAAAAAAGGGCAAATTACACATGAAAGGATGTGGGGAGAGGTGGTGGGCGGTGTGCTGGCGGTGGGGGGAAGCGCAGGGCGGCTGTTTTGAGTGAGTGTCTTTTTATCAGGTGAAGGAGAAGCAGGGAGGGGGGGGGCTGGTGGTGTAGATTTTCTGCTGCTGTGGAAACTTTGACCCCGGAGTTGTAAATCTGCAAAGGAAGTCTAGCCAGCTCAACAGGAAAACACGAAAAAGGAAGGGGGGGGGGGGGTGAAGGGGCGGGAGGGTTGGCGTGGTGAGCGGGGGGGGGGGGGCACACCCATAAGCGAAGCATGAGGTTTTGTTAATGGGGGGGATGTTTACAATCTTGAAACTGATTCCTCACAGCCGGTGGATCTCTGCCTGCAGCTTCACCTCTCACCCACTTACGCATGCTTGCAAGAAATAAATACATGAATATATTTATTAAAAAAACTGTGAATGTGCAAAGACATAACTGGCTGGAAATGACTGTTTTGATATGTAAATGTGCACTGCGGTTTGTAAGTGCGAGTATTTATTAATACTCTGAATGTACGTCGACATGTTTTCATTATGTTTAGTTTCCACTTCCAAAAATTAAGCATTTGGACGCATGAAGAAGTTGACATGGCCGATCTCCATTTGTGAAAGAGCGACTAAAAAGTCGACTTTCTGTCAAGTACTGTTATGTCTATGATTGCTAAGTATTACATTCAGGATGACTAAGCACACATATTGGCATCCTTATGTGTATTAAATATGGTTATTTAAATGACGGTCTGAATGCAGGTTCACAAGAAAAAACTCACATTCACATCTAAACTGAATATCTGGAGCAGCCATAGGAGTACACAGAGCAAAACAGTTAAATGCTCTTATTACTAATGATTTATAAATCTCTATAAGCAAAGAAGGAGGATTATAAAAGCTCATGCTGACCAGGAATCAGAAAAGAAAATGATCATTTTACATACACGGAGCAAAACGATAGCACACCTTGTACCTTTCACCTCACACAAGAAAGTTCTGGGTGTAGTCCAAAGCCACGCATGTTAGGTTAAGTGATCATCTGAAATTTGCTGATTTGATTGGCTGTCTTCCTCTTACTGTTAGCTGCTGAGGTTGTGCGAGGCCTTTCATGAATGCCAGATGTGACCTGCTCCAGCCTCATGTGACCCTCTGCAGAAAAAAAGATGCAGTAATGGATGGAGGGATGTTGCCCTCTAGCAACTGCTTATAATGACTAACCAAAAAGAAAAAAACCCTCGCTTTTATTGAACTAAGCATAGCATTTTGAAATACAACAAGGTAATGATCAGGTGTGGTAGGATAATGCATATGTTATTGGTTCCTTTTTCTGAACTCAACTGCAGTCACAGGAGATGTTTGAATCCACATCGGGCACAATAGACTCACTCGACCCAGCATGTTTCAGCCCAGATGAATGTGCTTTGCATCCGGTACTGTGAGGCTTCTCTGTGTCATTGGGCAGGGTAATTGGACACACTTTACGTAGACTAAAAGCATCTATTCTTGAGCCCTGGGAAACGGCAACACCTTGGCACAGAGTGGCACGCTGTTACAGGCTGCCCTGAGAACAGCTCAATTAGCCACCTGGCCACTGCCTTCCCATCACAAAACTGTGCCTGTCAGCCCACGCATACTGTAGATGTAGTGGATCAAGAGAATGGGAGGCTGTTTTGGCAGCAGACATTGCACAGACCGGCTTACGGGAACACATTTCTTGGATATTGTCCTTTTTCCTAATCAGCCCTTGAACGTCTCCATGACACGAGTGACCGGTCACAAGAATGAGCTCATCCGAGAGCTTTTTGTTCACTACTAGCAGCCCACACCTTCGCACTGCATCTCTTTACCCAAAATTCCCGGGAGAAAACACTGTGAGACAATGAAAAAGCTGAGCCATTGTGTCAGTGGGTTCATTCACAAAAAAATAAAAATAAAAGCAGAGCAGGTTTTGAGGCTACAATGTGAATGTGTATTTGGATAGAATGTACT